ATTAACAACAACATTTGAACATTTTTTTTTTTTTTTGAAAGTCGTATCCAGTCGTTTCGTTCCTTCGTCTATTCTCACGGTCTCCGCTCACCTTGCGTTTTAGCATCCAATCATTCCTCGACCAAATCATTACATAAATAGCGACTTGGGAGCTACCAAACTGTAATCACGTGCTGAGAAATTGCCAGTTACTGCAGCAGCAACTGCAATGAGCTTCTGATTTCATTGGCTCCACAGGGGCATGGTTTCTATTGCTCTCTCAGCTCGTGCTATAAGGCCTCGTTCTACCTTCAGGTGTTAGCCCTTTCATTACAGAATTATTATAATGGACGGACTGGGATGTTAGCACAATCAATAAACACGATGATGTCAAAATAAACCAAGAAAAAAATGCCTCTGTCAGTTTCCTTTTCTGAGATCCGAAGTTGCAAATAAGGAAAAAAAAAACACCGATATATTTACCAGTCTGTCGTCGCTTTCTTTTCTTTGCAGCACAACCGTACATCTTGTTGGTTTGCTCAGCATCCAGTGCGCTAAGGGCCTTGTAAGGCGTTTTCCCATTCAAAGGATGGAGCGCTCGTAGAGTTGGCTGGCCATTCTTAGAGAAGGCGTTAAACGGATAGTGCATGATGGAGCCGTAGTCATAAGGTAAACCAAGTGAGTCGATTTGATCTCGTCCATACTTGGCAAATGCGCTGTCGAAACCTTGAACGAGAGAAAAGTCTAGTCAACCTCTGAACATATCCACGCTGCCGTAGCGCATGCCCGTTACTGTAGCATGTGGCGACAAGGAGAATTTTTACTTCCGCTGGATGCTAGTCTATATTGCAGGGTTAACTCCCAGTATTCAATTGGTCGGTACCCATTTGTGCACCCATGTGTTCTCTCTCCACGTGGACGCATAAATGGGTCTGAGAGTAAAGTGTCCTGCCCAAGAACCCAATACGACATCCATGTTCAATCCAATGACACAATGACTCGAGCCCAGCTCCCCTCGATCCAGAGCCTGGCGGGCTACCGTTCCGATCAAGAGAAAAGATAATACAGTATTTCCTGGTGAGAGCAATGTTTATCCGCTCTTTAGTGTATTACTTAAAATATACCAGTCTCTGTAATTCGAGGGGCCTTCGAAATTATGTGGCTACATGGCCATGATCTCTGTCAAAGACGTAGAGGCGAAACCCGAGGTAAACGGCCTTAGGTGCGACAGCATTTTTAACTCTCGAGCATAAAAAATAAGCCACGAAGAATACTCTAATATCATCAATACTATAATATCCGTCAACAAGGATACTCTATACTCGATAATAGCTGGATGACGTTTCTCCAGCTCTTTTTTGAATCTTAAAAGTATTGTGATAGTTCTCTTCTAAACCTAGCTTGCTCGCCGGGACCGTCTGAGTGGAGGAATATCGCTTCACATAATCCTTATTGTCAAAACCCTGAGGCGATGTCCTTCCGTTACGGCCCTCGCGTTTGGTTAATACTAAGACATATGCTATTTTTTATATTTTATAAGCAACAATGTACTTTTAGTGTGTTGACATAGCCTCGTCTAAACACGACGGGGGTCGGGAGAATTTGAGACAGTTATGGAAACCCAAAATGTAGTCGAGGGTTTGCATAACTTTCAAGAATTCTTCCAACTTCCCAAGAGTTTAGATGAGGCTAAATGAGGACGGAAAAAGTGCTCTATTGCTTTGATGAAATATTTCTCAAAAATACGCGAGAATCTAAAATGCCACAACTGCGTTCACATGCTGTCATCTTAACACACCTATCGACCATTGAGAGCGCGCGTAGTATCTCATTTATTTTATAAACAGCAACAATCAAGTAAGCGCACGTACCTGGCAGTATGTTCTGCTTCAGCACCTGGACGTAACTATCCCTGTCAGGACGACTTTGCTCATGCCAGAAGCCAACCGCGTGACCAATCTCATGCACCATCACGTGTTTGTATTCGCAACCGAATCCAACGGACAGTGAAGTCTTTCCACCGATGCGACCGACATTGCACCAGCAGCTGAAAGAAGGAATTATTTTGATTAAGCAGTGTACCTCCCATTTCATATAAGACATACTAGGGCAATACTAACTTAGATGTAGGCGGTATGTGAGTGCTCGTTCGTTGAGTGTTCAAGGTATTTTTAAGGTCAACGTCGATCGAGTGCATGCATGCAAGTTTCTTTTTAAGCTGTGATTTGTC